TCATTGTAGCTTAGTCCTATTAACTTTATCATATTGCTAGATTTCGATGACTAGCTCTCTAAGAGTCCCCTTCAACCATTTTACAATGACCTTTGCTGAAATATTAATAACACAAATAAGACAGTGAAATTGCTGGTGTAAATACAGTGTGATATGCTCCTACAGTTCTTTTTTAAACGCTAACAACTCCACGATGAATCTTTAAGAGAAGCAGATACAAACAGTATTTTTAAGGGGAAAAAAAGGGAATAATTTAAGTTACCTACTCAAAGAGTGACTTAAAAGTTGAAAGAAGCTTGAGTTGGAGTCAGAAGATGTGCGTTCTAGTCTCCATTCTCTGACTCTTTGACCTTAGACGAATCATTTCATTTTTCTGGGCTAGATGATAACTCAGGCTCCTTCAAGTTAAAATACTAAAAATATAAGATCAAAAGTCCCTGTCAGACCTTGAGAGAATCAGAGATGGAGAAAGATAAAAGTTAGGAAAGTAGAAAGATAGTAAAATAAAGAGGTACTGCAATACTGTGGTATAGTGGGGAAAAAAGCTTAGTAGAGAAACTGAAGTTCTACATTCCAGTCTGGTCCTGCCCTCAACTAGCTGAGTAACCTTGGACAAGTCACCATTCTTCTTTAAATCAAGATTTCCCCCATTTATAATGTAACGCAGATAATCTTCCAGATCCTACAACCTAGAATTCTAAGCTATAGGATACTGCTGGTATGAACAATGAAATTCTATGGAATTGTTGTATTAGAAACAGAACATGTAAATAAAATAGTTACTGGAGAGGAGCCTCAGGCCTCACTTGAGCTTTCCCTCCAAATTCCAACTCGAATATTTTTCTAGAGCCACTCATAAGCACTCATCCAGACCACTGTACTTTGAATTCCTCTGTTCTTAAAATATGCCAAAAGATTGACCAGAAAAGAAGAGAAACAGGTGCTGCCTAGATAATGCATCAATCCAGTCTCTTCGTTGTCTCCTTCTTTTCTGTCACTATAGTTTCCTTACAGTGGGTAACTTTAGTTACCCACTGTTTGGATTGAACCAAACCTATCTCTTTTGATTCAAATTCTTCAAGGCTCAGTTCAAATCTCATTACTTCCATGAAGCATTCCTTTCCCACTCTAGCCCACATCCATCTCTCACTCTTTTAAATTTCTATAGTACTACATTGCTGTGGTAGAGATTAAACAATATGTCTAAAGAGCTTAGTAAAACATCTGGCATATAGTAGTTGCTCAATAAATGATAGCAGTTGGTGGTGTTACCAGATCTTTAGCACTAATCAGATACCCTTTAGTTCAAGGCATCTTAAATTTAATGTGCATGTGAATCACTTAGAGACCTTATTCAAATGCAAATCATTATTCAGTAGGCATGAGGTGTGACCTGATAATCTTGTAGTTCAAAAAGCTCCTGATTGATGACAGTGCTGTTGATTCAAGAACCAAACTTTGAATACAAGGGGTAGTTTTTAGTAACCTTTTAAAACATGTTATCGTCTTATCTACCCAACTGGACAGAGAGATCTTAGAAAACAGATACAATGACTCATTTTTCTTAGCACATATACCCTAATACAGAGAAAGTACCCAATAAACATCTATGGACTTGTCATTTGCAGTGCCTAGATAATCTAGATAATCTTTAGAATGTCTACGCTGCACTGATTTTAAATCAAACACTGAGACGCGCTAGGATAAAAAAAAATTTACTTGGTCACTGGGATTGGAAATCACTGGAAAAATTCAAGCGGAGATCTGAGAGAAAACTTACCTCTTCACCAGCGAGAATGTAATACACAAGAAAAAACAATATATAGAAATGGATACTTGTTCCTTATTTAAGCACATAGATCATTTATTAAAGTGCAGTCTTAACTGTACTTCAAATTTGTGTAAATCTTAAAAGAAGATGCATTTTCAGGATATATATACATATACATCTTTATATAATTAGTGGTTTGTATATATATAAACCACTAATAATAATTACTAATAAGATATATAATGAGCTTGATTTCACTTTTTTAGTGAAACACACATTTTTCAATGATCCTTTAATGTGCAATTAATCTAAAGATCTCAGCAACCAATGAAAACACATTTCAAGCAAAAGAGAGAAACACCTTCAATTTCCACATCAACTTGGTCAGTGGTAAATTCCCCAAATTTCATTGACCACAATTACACTGACAGAAATTCAAAGGAATCTGCTGTGTATTAAGGCTACTCAGAGAGGCTGCCTATTTTAAGCCCTTCTTTCAAATCTCCAATTATTTAAATGCTTGTTAAAATTCTCTTTATTTTAGCATTCTAGAATTCAGACAGGACCAATATTCTCAAATTCTACTGACAGGCTACACTCTGGGTTCCTATTCAAGCACCAGAAAGATAATAGTCGATATATAACAACACCTGCTCACTGAATACTATCTAGGTAGCTTAAATTGTGAGCCAAACTTACTAAAATCAGCCTTTAGAGCAAAAAGCACCTTTTAAGTCACTGTGCTTGTCATAAACAGGCACCTGCTCCTTAACTCAGAGATCTTTCAATAAAACCATTCAATATTTAACCAAGACGTTTTTAACAAATTTAGACACTTTAGAAAACAAACTACAATTCTGAGAATTGCTATTAAGCACAGAAACACAGAATTGCTGTCAAAAATCAGAAAACAGTTGGGAGTAAGCCCATAGGTAAGCGGCTTCTATTACTTCCATCAGATCTAGTCTCCAGGGCAAGGCAAATTCCCTATTTCATGCCAGGCAGTTTTCCTAGAGAATAATAGTAGCCAAGGAAAGTTTAAAATCTCAAGCCACTGAAGCAGTTAGAACTAAACACAAATCTACAGCAGTCTCATCATACCCATACAAATGAGTATCTTCCTAACTGCAGGTACCTAACTAGTAATTAGACCCAAAACAAATTCCTTCAACTGGATAGATCAGGACAAGGTGCAAGAGGATGGGATTCTTGCATAGAAAAATGAAGCGCCAATGTCATTCCCATTTCTCCTCTTCTTTTTCTAGCCTCTCTTCAAGACTCATATTTTGTGAAGCTTTCTCCAATAACTTCGGCCTTCACTAATCACTCCATTTACTGAATGCCTGAAACACTATTCTAAACTAATAATTCTAAATTCCTTTTTGTTAATTGTTTCATGTTTCCATTTTGTCTCCCAAATTTGAGTGTGAATTCTCTGTAAGGCCCCTACACTGTCTAGCCCCTAGAGGGAGCCTATTATTAATATTGCTAATAACATAATAATAATAACGAGGCAATATAACAGTGCAGTGGCAATAGTGGAGTCAAGTGGGCCTAAGTTCAAATCTTGGTTCTTGCTGGCTGAATGACTGTGAACACATTGCTTACTTTTGCTAAGCCTTAGTTTGTGGTGAGAACTCAATCAGATATGTATTACACCACCTAGTACAGGGTTTGGCATATAACAGATGCTCAATAAAGATTAGTTTACCTTCTCTTCCCACTAATAAGCACTTGTTGATTTAAACTGAATTAGCATAACTATCCTAGGGAGCTACCAATGACACCACCATTTATACTCTTATGCTTTCCCCATTACACTCTTACTTGTGACTTTTTTTTTCCTAACAAAGATTCCTTCAGATTTTCTATTCCACTGTCTTGAGAGAAAGCCAACTTACACAAGTCACCCAAATGACTATTCAGAATGGTCGTATTAGGGGCCAGCAGGAGGACATCTCCACACCTGCATTTCACTTCCATCCCACCCACGCTAACCAGCACTCCCTCCCTCCGGTTTTCCCAGTGATGGGAAAGAAAAGCAGTGAAGCAACCAAAAGAGAAAATGGAGACAGACAGCTCTGCAGTCCCTCTGTGCCTCACTCTTGGGAGGAAACATTCAGATCCAGTCTCCAACCTCAACTCCTGTGAGAAAGAAAAACAAACAAAAACAACCCTTCCCATATTCCAGAAGAAAAAGCAACCCATATTCCTAGCCTCTTCATTTCTTCAGACCTTTCAACAGTCACTTGCATCATCATCGCCCACCCCAGCAATCCCCTAGGTCAACTTTCTGCTAT